GTCATGGAGTGCTGGAGTTGAGGTGGAATTAGGAGGATTTACACAGGAAGATAGGAAAATAACGAGATTCTCACAGTCCCTGTCACACACACACACACACACACACACACACACACACACACATGCGCGCACACACACACACACACACACACACACACACACACATACACAAGTAGATACAAAGATGAAACACATATAATCATCTGCCATTTTTTGACATTTTCTCTTTCTTTTTGCAGTCCTTAGCAACCTGCTAAACTCCTCCTAAAGCAGCAATGTTCATGACAGCTTGGATCAACAACCGGCAAGAAAGTGGCAATCTCACTGTTAGGCTCTATCTGTAGAGCTAAATTACTGTGAGGCCCGAGTAGAGCTGTGGGTGTGTGTATGTGCGTGTGTATGTGCGTGTCTGTGTGTGTGCGTGTGAGAGAGAGAGAGATTGCATTTGTATGTTCAGTCTTGTGTGTGCATATATGTGGGGAGTAAATATAAGAGAATCAAAGGGGGTTTTAGGATTGTTACTACAAAGGAAATTATTGAAACAATTAGACCATCTTTCCACTTTAAACTAAATCATGAAAGTGGACATCAAAGGGATTTAATCTCAAATCAACCATGAAATGGCAAACGTATAGAGCTACCTTTTTCTATGGATACTATCTAGTTCTAGTAATTCAATGTGAATATAAACCAGTGAAAGTTATTGATGTTGTAGAGGTCTAACCTTTTACTGAAATCGTATAAGTGGATTTTATTTAGCTTATTCTGTCATTGTTTGAGACACCAATATGCTTTTAAAAATCCATTGGCAACAATCACTTAATTAAATCATTTTTGTATTGTCTGCGTTAGAAATGCAGGATAGATGAATAACAGGGGGCTTCAATAAGTACAACTGTATTTCCTGCCCTTGGCAAGGAAAATAGTGTATGATTATAATCCTAGAATGTATGGTCCAATGTGTGTTCAGGGGGCCACTGATGTCACTGTGTGTGTGTGTGTGTGTGTGTGTGTGTGTGTGTGTGTGTGTGTGTGTGTGTGTGTGTGTGTGTGTGTGTGTGTGTGTGTGTGTGTGTGTGTGTGAGTGTGTTCTTGTTTTGTCTGTGTGTCTTTTTTTAGTTGGTGATGGGGCTTAGTTTTAAATCCTGTTTGGGGACTACCACTTCTCTTCAGTCAGTTCGATAAATCAGAGTGAAAGAGTGAAATTATAAATCAAATACAAATGATACAAACTAATTAATGTCAAATTGATTAAACAATCAATTTGTATTACAATGTTATAAGATATTGTACAATTATATATAGATCTATATTTTGAAATGTACTGAGCTGAAGCGAAGTCTAGTCCAACTCTATTTCTGTCAATGGATGAATATTTAGCTGACATGGACAAATTCAAAGATGTCATGTAGTAATGTATTAGAAATTGTTCTGATGTAGTCTGTGTCAGTCTAGTTGTGATGCAGTAATTTCTCCTCTATAGTGCCTTCACTGACACAGCCTGGCTTGACCAATCTACAGACACACAGGGAATAGAGCTGGGATAAAAAAAAGTGAAAACAGACAAAATAGTAGTTGAATGTATTGAAAAGATACTAGACAATTGAGGAATGTATTATGTTATTTGAGTCGTAATCATTTTGGTGGTAGAAAAGCCTTACCTTAAACTGCTTGTGAATGTGAAACTGTTACGTTAGTGTGACAGCTGCTGTATACATATGTGGGTGGTTTGCTGTTTAATTTCCAGTATTTTAAACAAATAATGCATTCCAAACTCTTAACAGCCTCACATTTCAGCAGTCAAATCCTCATTGTGTGTCTTTTTATTTGAGCAAGCCAGTTGCTGTCACAGTGCTTTTGTATCATTCATATTTCCACATTAAGAACATCATTCACCTGTGATTTTTGTATATGAATTTTACATTTAGCAGCGGCCAACTTGTTGCTGTGGTATTTTGTGAATATCATTGTAAAATGCCCCAGAAACAGCGCTACTGCATTTTAAAAAAAAAAACAGTTATTTTGCGGCTGTAGCAGAAACAAAGTTAACTTCTGAATGTCTTTTTGTTGCCTTGCAGTTTTGTACTTGCTCTGCCCCCTTTAAACCTTAAAAAGGGTTACAGAGGTTGCATAGTGCTGCAGTTAATGTACAGTGTGTTACTTGTAAAGCACCATATAGCTGCAATACAGGACAGAGACTGTTGCTAACAGCCTAGCCTCAAGCCGAAATATAATAGTCTGTGATGTCACATATTGACTTATCCTACTGTGTAACTGTGGGCTGGATGCCGGGCCAAAGTTTGAAATGCCTTCTGATCTTGTTATCTGTGATGGAGTTTCTCTTGACACATTGGAGCCAAGTGAAGAGTGTGTCTGAAATCTCTTACTGCATCTGCTATAAGGATAATGCACAAAATACACACAAAATAACAGTACAAGCTTTCAGATAATAGCCACTGATGCCTTCAAAATAAAACATCCTCCTTTATAATGCAGTACTCGCCGTCTTTGTGCACTTCATTAAGTGCCACAGGAATCAACAAAAACACTCTGCTGGCCTGCAGTGCACATTCAGAAACCTCACTGGGACTGATTTAATGAAAAGAAGACTAAAATACTTCTCTTAAAATTGCACAAGGAATGCGCGTGTTTTCAGCATCATGGTCCACGCCACATTTAGTCCCAAGAAGTCACATTCCTTGTTAGCAAACTATTGGAGCATAGTTTCCAAACCAGAATGTAAAATCAAGGAAGTTGTTGACTTATCGGGTCCTGAAGTGCACTTTGCAGATAATGCTAAGGCATCAATCATGGCGCTGACTAGTCCTGCCTTATACCGCCTCTTGACTATTTCAGAGGGAAATAAAGAACAAAATGTCACCATCGGAAAGTAAACAGTCAAACAAGCAGAGATGTTTTTGCAGGTGATTCAAATAACACAAACTATATAGGAGAAGCACTTTCCTATCCTGTATACATCTTGGTTTATTAAACATATTTAGACAATTCATTTTCGATATAGACTAGTGTCTTCTACTTTTATTTAAAGTTTTCATTTAGTTTTGGAAGAGTCTTTTTCATTTTTTGTCATCTGGCACTTGTTGTTCTTCTGGAATTGTGTAAATAATGTTTGAGGAGTCAATTAAACCGTTTTCGTGGGATTTGGTGTTTTATTTCCCTGCCAAATATTTGTATCTTTTATGAGTGTGTATGACACAGTTTTACAGCTTTATGGGAATCTGATGTTAAAAACTGATATTTAAATAATGTCATTTTTACAGTTAAGATATAAATAATGCTTTAAAAATGTGTAGTTTGGATCAAAAAACATCTGAATTTAATATCTGTGTCTCTGCATTGAACTCTATTTACCTTTATCTTTGTGACTAAGTTTATTTCCTGTGGGCTTTTTGAAAGTTAGGTAAGCTCAGGGACAACAAAAAAGAGGCATCATGGGACATGACCTGAAATGCTTGATATGTCAGCTATTTATAGGAGGTAAGAAGTACAACGTTTCTAGCTTGGTGAATGATTGATGGCGACAGATTCATTGAGATGCACACCCGAGGCCCTCAGAAGAAAAATGTGGGAGTCTCAGAGATTTTCCTTGCCAACGGTATTCACACATAATACCTGCAGCTGTTACATATTCATTTCATTCTATAATAACCACACGATCAGTAAAGAATTCAATGAAATCCTGCACGGCATGATGCTTTGATTACTTGATATACTCAGTAATTGGGTTGATTTCATTCCAAGTAAATTAGATCTAATTATATTTCATGGTTGGATCAATAAATCTCTCTGGTGTTGGTGTCTGTGGGTTGACATACCGGAGGTGAAGCCTGCATTCGTGTCCTTCACGAAACCTAAATCCAGTGTATTGTAATTTGTTAAAAGTAAACGTGATATCTTTACTGTATAGGTAATTTAAACCAGTTTTCCCTCACTGTGGGATCAGGAAGTCCCACAAAGGTTTTGAGAAGTTAGTGGAGTGTTTTCACTCTCAAAAGAGCAGAAGAAGTTAAGTTGCACAAAGTGGAATCCTGAGTAAGATACAAATCATAAAAAAATCCAAACTGTGTTCAAGCAAGTACTTGAGTAAACCAACTGTGTTACCTTTCCATTTCACAATTCCATACAGTATGGAACAATATAATACAATAGCAGGATGGTTTATAAGTTCATGATTAGATAACCTAAAGAAGTTTATATTAATTAGAATTAATATTAATCAGAATCAAAATCATAATACCTTTATTCGTTCCACAGAGGGGACATTTGCATTTGTTACAGCAATAAAAGAGACAAAGACAGCTTAATAAGATACAATACAAAAGAAATACAAATACATAAGTAGCTAAAGAGGTTTGTGTTAGTAGTTCACAAGGAAAACGGAAAATAAAGAGAGAGCTTCTTTCTTATTTGTAGTTTTTTGATCAAAGTTGGAAACCATAAAATATAGCTTTTACATGCGCTTTTACAGCACACATTACGGCAAATTGTGTTGTGCGTTCATAAACCAAGCAATACTGTAGTCAGGATTTGCCAAGGGACTGCGCGCGCTTCCTTTGGCTTCAGCGGAGGAGGACATGCGTCACATTTGTGTAGTTCTATGAATAACTGTATTGTGCAGAGATGTGGTAAGTCTACATGGCAGGTTTGCCTTTGGCTTTTTAAAACAACACACCATGCAATGCATTGTGACTGAATTACCGTAAAACAGCTTGATTCGGTAACACACTAAATTATGCGTCAATCTAAAATCGAAGGCTTAGCTTTGAAGACATTATAAACAGGGGTGCACATAAGTGGTACGCAGGTACGCATGCGCGGCAACAATCTGAAATGCGTACCGTCACTTGTGTCACAAAGCGCATTTGCGTACCGATGTATATGTGAAGCGGTTGGATCACCGGACGACGGAGTCGGTCTCCGTGTGCAAAGACAGGGCTGCTGTTAACGTCGGCCTGTACAGCAGCACTGCGCTAAAACAGCTGATCACAACGTTCACACGCTCTGTGGTCACGAAGCTCTGCACTCTACTACTACCCCCCCCCGTTGACATTCGCGATACAGAGGGCTTCATCATACTCNATTGCTATCGCAGTAAGGTTTGTTTTAGGTGGAAACCACGATGTTGTATTTTAGTGTTGCCTCTGTGTTTAGTGTCCTGTCTGTCTGTAACTTTGTGTGGTAGTGTTACCACTGAACAGGTCTCTCTTGAAAATGAGACCTTGTGTCTCAATGAGATTTTACACCTGTATAAATAAAGGCTAAATAAAATCAAGAATAAATAAATGGGGAACATCAATACATTACTCTTTGAATGACACAAAGCAACACCAATGTAGGAATAATACCTCATGTATATGTAATTGGAAAACTTTCCCATGAAAGAAAAAGGTGGACTAATTTTTAAAAAAGGAGGAGTGTCCTACTTTCCCAGTGCTGTTATAATATCTGCTGTGGATTGTGAGTCAGTTGGTCAAATGTCATGTTTATTGAAAAAACATAATTATCTTTATTAAATAAATCCATGATGCATCAGTAATAAAAAAACACACAAAACACATTTATCCTAATTTTATTTAGCATGCATCTCA